GGGGGGGGGGGGGAGGAATAAGACAAAAATCAAGAAAAAAAATGAGATAACTGATATTTTAGGAGAAACTTCGCTTGATTTTCACAAAACCGCTAATTTCAACAATTATCATTGTAGCCAGCATTTAATCAATGCTTAGTAAATGCCAGGCCCCAAACTAAGTGCTAACTACTAATCACCGCATGTAATTCTCAGGAGAATCCTCGGCAAGTTGAGGGATGGTTGTGTCCTTTTGGCTGGTAAAGACATCCCAATACCTCATGGGCTCAGGAGGCCAGAAAGTTCCAGAGCCGAACAGTGGAGCACACTGCTCACCCGGAGCCTACCACGAGTCTATCCTCTTGCCTTGGAAAGACTATCCCGGCTGTCTGTGGCTGAGTGAAATCCACCCTAAAACTCAGTGGTTCGTGGCTGTCATTTGTTCTCACTCATGCCTCTGCCATTCTTGCCCAAGATCTCCTTATTTAAGTCAAGTGATTGATGCAGTCGCTAAAAGTTATCTAAGACCTGCCTGGGCCAGATGTCCAGACAGACACAGCCATACACCTTCCGATTAATGCTGGCTGCCATCTGGAAGCTCAGGGCAGGCTGTGGACCAGACAGGCATGTGGCCTGGACTCTCACATCATGACACCTGGGGCCCAAGACGAACCGTTCTGAGAAAGCCAGGGCCTCAAGAGCAAGCAATCCAGGAGACCCAAGGGGGTGTGGCAAGAGCTCTTAGACTTAATCCAAACACCACAACCATCAAATTCCAACCGCAGCAACTCGGTATAGCGCCGACTCAAGGAGAGAAGGCTCTATGTGGTCTGATGTCCAGGAGTCGGGGGGCTTTATCCTTAGGTACTAATGGCACAGTCATTTCTATGAAGTATCAATATCTACATGCCACTTTGGGAAGAAGCAGGGTGGGGAAAGGGAGAGAGAGAAGAAGAGGATGGTTGGGGAGATGAGTCAACATCAAGCAAACTGCATGGGGAGGTAGGTCTAAAAACAGATACAAAAGAAGCAAACCCAGGTACTAACTGTCCTTCTGGCTTTTCACCTAAGCCCTGGACCACTCTGCATACTCCTCAAATCCCTGCCCTGCAATCAGGGCCTCTAGGGGCCTCGAAGATTTGATGCAGGTGACTTCTTTTTCATTGGCTTCATTGAGGCATAACTAGAAGATGGTGGGAGGCTAGCTTTGAACTCAGATTATAACAGTACTCAAAGGCCTCAGGCAGCTTTTTTTCAAATTGGTTTTCTAATTTTTTTAATTTTTTTTTTCAGGTTAGCACACCAATGTCACTGTGACATTCTCATTAGTGTTTACCATTGTACATTTTGTCCTCATGACCCAGGACTCAACTACTGTAACATTCCATTTCTTCATCTGAATCACATGAACAATAAAAACAGAATCACCTAAAATGCAGTGTATACTCAGCAATTGGTACTTGGGGGGTGGGTGGATGGTCACATTTTACTCATTTTTTTCTTTATTTTTTATAATTTATTTAATTTTTATTTTATATGCATTAGTGTGAAGGTCTCAGACCCCTTGGAACTGGAGTTACAGACTGTTGTGAGCTGCCATGTGGGAACTGAACCCCAGTCCTTTAGAAGAGTAGACAGTGCTCTTAACCACTGAGCCATTTCTCCAGTGCCAGCAACTGTTCTTTATACAAGTCTGTTCTCTATTCTTTATTGTTCAGCCTGTGACATGATATTAAAAGGAAGGGATCTATACCACAGGAGACAGTCCTGAGCTCTTTGGCTGTGTAAAGAGCTTTCTCCATGCCAGAAGAGGTGGGATAGAACGTCTTCTGAAATAGGAATTAAGAATCCTGGCTGAGCTAAACAGGACCTAAATATCTCTCATCCTGAGGGAGCCCTAACAAAGGATTCCCTCTAAGGACATTTAAAAGACTAACAGAATCATCTCTATTGTCATCGCCCTGTGTCTGCCTCTCCTCAATCTCCATTCATCTGTTTTTTCAATGTAATCAAAGAAAGGTGGAGGAGAGAAAGAAAGTTGGAATTGAAAGCACTCGACCTTGAGGGTCCTTTTGGAGACAGAAAGGGTGTGTGTTCCTCCCCTCATCAGGAAGCCAAATGGAGGCACACTGGCAGGATTCTTTGGGTGTAAGGAGAAAAGGGGAACCATCATCTCGTAGAGTTCAGGAACATACATGAATACTGCTGGTGCCTATAGCTCTTCTGGAGATTCACAAGGGCAAAATCCTTGGTGAGAATCCCTGGGAAGAAGATGGAAAAATGCACTCATGGAGGGCGTTTCCACCATCTCAACTCATGACTGGGGAGCTCCACACAAGTCCCTTCTTGTAAGCGTTCTGCAGCCTTAGCAGAATCCAGAGCAGAATGAATGGTCTTCTCCGGGCTTCTCACAAATTATCCCGAACAGCAGCAGAGAGAACCAGATGAAACCAGACCCAACCAAAGAACAGCCGGAGATTCCTGTCGCTCTAAACTGACATATATAACCTTCTCTCCGGTTCTGTCCAGGAAATGTCCAGTATTTCTCAGCCAGGGCAAAAAAAAAAAAACAAAAACAAAAACGGTGTCTCCAGGAGGAGCCTGAGAGTGTGGCAGCATGTTTGGAGAACACTGAAGGGAGCGATGAGGACTTGTTTGGGGAGGAGACAGAGAAATGCTATTCTAAATGTGTCCTAATGTGTCCCATGCCTAGAGGCGCTCACCTCACCAAGAAGGGCCCTGGGCAG